ATGGCACTGCACCAGTGGGTCGGCCCCTCAGCGTCTTCTTTTAAAGACATCCCTTTAGGTCAGGCCTACCCTGGATAGTCTCCCTTTCGATTAACTCGTAGTCAGTGGGTAGTGAGGTGTCCCTGGGAGGATGTTCCAACATATTAGCCATCATACAGGGTCTGGGTCACTGGGCCACCTTAAAATCCTGCCTGCCACCAGCTCCTTGGATGGCCAATATGCACAGTCCTGTTTGAAATTCCCATTTGAGAAAGTCTGGTGAAAATTACACAGTCTGTGGAATTAGAAAGATCGGGATTAAAATCCTTACCTGCCACTTAGCAATTTAGAATTTTGGGCAAGTCACATACATTCTCTGAGCTTTAACTTTTTTTTTCTTAACTGTAGATTACAATACTTACTTCACAGGGTCTTGGGGCCAATAAATGGAATAACATGAAAAGGGTTTAGCATGGCATCCAACATATGGTACATGTTTAATGAGCGTTCATCAATTCTCACCTCCTCCTACTCTTTTTTTTTTCTATAAAACTTTGAGGTAGAGCAACATATTTTCCCACTGTCATCGAGCATCTCAGAGTTTATCACATTATTTTAAAGAAAAAGCCCTACAACAAGTAAGTCCTAGATAGACACAAATTCTCCCCCGCCAATGCCCCAGAAGCATCATGGCCATTGTACATAGCATGTTCCACCTGTTGATAAGTTAAGTTGAACATCTATTAAAAACTATCAATAGAGAGCTTTCCTTATTATCTGTTCTCAGCACTAATAGTCATTTTAAAGAGTGAATCTATATCTTAATATCATATAGTAACTGATGTTCTGGCAATGACACCAAAAACAAAATAAAACAAAAGTGGCTTCTTGCCCGACACTGGGAGCACCCTCAGTCAATATCTTGGGAGCCTTACTGGAATGATCCCTAGAACAGATTTATAAGACTCCTCTTAAGAGCCTCTTTTGAATCATCTAGAAAGTTAGGTTTAAATTGCGAAACTTATGTTAAATAATAGAGTATGTTTTTTTCCAAATGTGGCAAAGAGAACTTGGCGGCATAAAATAAATGAGTGTCACCAGAGGCATGAGAAAAGAAGAAAGTGGAGGAGGGAGTGGATGTGGGTGGGGGATGTGAGGACAGGACAGGACTGTAAGGGGGTGCATCACCTCCCTCACCCAGGACAGTGACAAAGAGTCTGAGACAGTCACACAGAATGAGTCCGGCCACTCTGAATATGGTGGCTTACGTGGGCAGCACGACGACTGAAAGAAGAGATGGGCAGACGGAGACGAGTGGAGAACAAGGGTCATTCTCACCAGCTGGAGTTGACTATTTTCTCTCCACGACTGGGAGATGGAGAAGGGATGGGGGAGCCAGAATCTCCAGCGTGCGGCATGACAAGGAGGTTCTTTTGGAGTTACTGGACCTGAGTGAGGGCCCAACTGTGCCTCTGACTGGCTATGCGACCTGCAAAGGTGACTTCATTTTACTCTCTGCATTCACTCATCAAATTTTTTTTTTAAAGATTTTACTTTTTTCTTTTTCTCCCCAAAGCCCCCCAGTACATAGTTGTATATTCTTTGTTGTGTGTCCTTCTAGTTGTGGCATGTGGGACGCTTCCTCAGCGTGGCTTGATGAGCAGTGCCATGTCCGCGCCCAGGACTCAAACCAACGAAACACCGGGCCGCCTGCAGCGGAGTGCGTGAACTCAACCACCTGGCCACGGGGCCAGCCCCATCAATTTTTTTTTTTTTTTTAGAAGAGAGTTATAAAATAAATATCAACAGCAAAGTAGGAGATGGATGAATGTTGAATAAGTGAATATTGCCTTCAGTTTACTGAATGAATATTATTTCCCATGAACCAGGAATTTTAATATGTCATCTCTTTTATTCCATCAAACTAATTCTGTTAGACATTTTTATCATCTATTTCATGGACGTGGCCAAGGCTGCACACGTGGTGTGGACAACCAGAGTCTAAAGTCCATCTTTTTATACTATGCCACAATATGGACAATCAACTATTCTTGTTTCATAATTTTCTTTATCTGCACTCTGTAGAATGTAATTTTGTCCTTGTCTCTCATATGCACTTCCCCCTCTGAACGACTCTGGCCTTGTGACTCTTCTCTGCTGCTCTTTTTAAAAATCAGGTGCTTAGATCGCATCCAAATTCTTTTTCACATAGGAAGCTGAACCTATTTCCCCACCAGATAGTTACACACACCAGGAGTGGCAATGCCCTTGTTTTAAGACATCTACAGTCTCCTGCCTCCCCCACCAAGAGGAACTTTTGCCTATTTTGTAAATACCTGCCTATTACAATATTACAAAATATTGCCTATTTTGTAAATGTATGAATCGCACATCCCTGGCCAGTCACAGGGTGGACCATATACGTGTTGAATGGCTACTGGGCACACTGGGAAGTCATAGAATTTAGAGTCTTTGAAATCCAGTGTACATATCCTGTTTTCACACCTTTTTGTTTTACTTTTCTGAAAAATATCATTTTGAGGGTATCTGTATCATGTCCAATTAGGTTCCCTCTTTTAAAAATAAACTATATACTCTTCTAAGTAGTAGGCAGTGCATGTGAAAGACACGCACAAATATATATTCTGTGGGAATGGAGATAAAGAAAATTATTAAACACTGAATAGTTAATTGTCCAAAAGGTAAATAAGGATACCCCAACCCTGACACCCACAAGCATTGCACAGAGAGCCATTATGGCTTCCGGACTTGGGCAACTTCTTCCACCCTTCACCTGACTCTCCTCCATAAGGTCCAGGATGCTGGCCTTCACTTGCTGGCCATGGGATTCTTGCTTCCTTAGGCAATTGCTGCTAATTATGGAGAAAACCCTATCTCTGATATAACCACACTCTCAGAACCATTTCCCAAATCCTACCAGTTGTGGACACCAGGCGGTTGGGTCAACCTATGGATAGTTCAAAGCCAAACCATTTCGTTTCCTGGAAATAGACTCAAGGCACAAGTCTCACCTGGGGAGGGCCAGCCATGCTCTTTGTCTCTGGGATAAAATACGAGGAACACAGGCATCGATTCATTTTGGATTGTCTTCATAGACCCTAGAAGATAATAACCTTTCCTAACTCTTGGTGCACAAAGGTCCCTGCCTAGGATTACTCAGGGTCATAATCCTGGTTTATTCCAGTCTGCTCTAATTTGCTAAAATCTGATATCCAAAATCCTTGCCAAATTCTTTTACATACTCCATTTTTTTTAAAAAAATTTATTTAAAAGGATGTTCATTAAGCTCTATTTTGAAGTAGAAATGAAAGTAGCAGCTATAATTCAGTTTTCCACTTTGGATTTAAAAATGCACATTCTTCGTGTTCTTGGCGTTTTTCTTGAAAATGAACATGATGGTATATTTTAGGAGCTAATTTATATGAAAAAAAAAAAAAAACCCATACTGAATGTCAGCTTCGACCTCATTTAAATTGTTTACACATTCATGGGAAAAGCCTAGTTGTTAACCTCGGGGAGGGTTCTTTGAGATTACAGCTCTGCAACATAAACAGATTCCTCCCAATTAGAGAAATAAACTCCACATCTTCTTAGAAGGAGGGCTGTCTATGGTAAGTAAGAAAAAGACATTTTAAGTTACAGTTCTCTGGTTCTCAAACTTTAGCCGGCAACAGATTCACCTGGGGGGCTTGTTCAGACACAATGGCCAGGACATCCCCCTCCCCCCAACTTTCTGATTCTGTACGTTTGGGGCCCTGCCCTGGAAAGTGCATTCCTAACAAGTACACAGGTGGTGTGGATGCTATTCTGGTCCTGGCATCCTAGTGAGAACCAGTTATAGGGTAACTATTTTTTTAAATGCAAAATTCGTTCCCAGAGAATCAGTGTTAACCCTAGGCTTTATCATAAAGTAACCCCTCAAGAGCCCGCACAGCCAACCTGGGCCTGGGGCAGTTCGGGTCCTATTGCCGCAGGTCAGGCAGGTATCAGGCGCGCAGGTGTGTCCCCCAGGTGTGTGCCCAACCCAGTGAGAGGGGCCTAAGGTGGGACTCTCATTCACACCCAAAGCATCCCTGGACTCCAGCAGATCAGGCCCCTCCCTGCCGGGCGGCCCCGCCTCACCACACCTGTGGGGTCAGAGCCCCCTGTCCCCACCCCCGGTGACTCCGGCGGCCCCGCCGAAGGCCTGAGGACGGAGGGGGACGGAAGGGAACATGGAAGGCCGGAGGGGACGGAGGGGGACAGGGCAGCCCGAGGCTGGAAGTGGCGACGCGGGACAGGACGGAGGGGACGGAGCACGGAAGCACGGAGAGGACAAAGGAGAGCAAGGCGACCCCGAGGTTGGACAAGTAGGGACAAAAGGGACAGAGATGAGTCGGGTGGCGGGGACCCTCCTGCCCCCTTCAGCCTAGCCGCAGCGCACTGCCCGCTCCGCCTCGTGATGGGGATAGGGACCGGGGTGACCGGGACCTGGGCGACGGGGACGGTGGGGTGCCCAGCCTTGGTGACCGCGATCGGACGGGCCTGGAGGACCGGCTCCCTCCTCCTGCGGCGGGCGCACTGGGCCGCCAGGCCGGGGACGAAGGGGGTACGTGGACCGGGGCACGGGGACGGAGGGGACCAGCCGGCTCCCTACGCCGGGCCGCGGGCGCACTGAGCCGCTCGGCCGCGCACCTCCCAGCGCCGACTCCTCCGGCGCGCGGCGGCCCGCGCCTTATATACCCTGCTAAAAATAGCCTGCGAGGCCGCCTTCCAATCAGAGCCGCCTGAAGTTCGAATTGAGCCAATGGCGAGGGCCGTGATGGAGAGGCTCGGTCACGCCAGGCGGGGCCGCGGTGAGCCGCCGCCTGCCATTGGCCGGGGCTGACATCATCGGCGGGCAGCCCCCGGGCCGGGCGCGGCGTGATTGGGCGGCGCGCGGGGCGGGCGCCGGGCGAGTCACGTGGGGGGAGGGAGTGGGGGGAGCCAGGCGGGGAGGAGGGGGAGGCTGGCAGCGGAGCTTTGAATAGGGAAGTTTTGCAGGGGTTACGTTTGCAGTCAGTCCGGTGTTTGCAAATATTGTGTGGGCTCGCGAGCGCGTCTCTGGGCTCCGGCAGGATCCGAACCCGCGGCGCCTAATTGCTGCGCGTTGAGTTTGCATGAAACTTCCCCCGGCGCTGCAGACACGGGTGCCGCGCTCCCGACTCCAGACCGCACACGTCCCTGTTTTCCCAACAGCAGTGACTGTCTTTTCCAACCCGACATGGATGTACTCCCAATGTGCAGCATCTTCCAGGAACTCCAGATTGTGCACGAGACTGGTTACTTCTCGGCGCTGCCCTCCCTGGAGGAATACTGGCAACAGGTAAATAGGAATTGTCGTGTGCCAGGTGCCCCGGTGCGCCGAGGAGGGAGTGTGCATGCACACAGCCAGGACGGTGTATGGTTGGAGGCGCATTTCTTTTTCTTTTTCTTCTTTTTTTTTTAATGGTTTGGGTAAATTTAAAAAAAAAATTAAAATAATTAGTCTTCAAACGTACTCTGCTGCCTCCGGTGCGGAAGGCACTTTAAAAGGGCCTTGTACAGCGTGGAGTGGAGTTGTCATTGGAGTGGGGCGCAGCAGCGCTTCGTCGCTCCCGGTGCTTTTTGCCCGATTCTGGGGCTTCCGAACTGCATCCTCCGGAGGGCAGACCCAGCTCCGCGGCCTGAGCCCGGCCCGAGGCCCTGGCAGAAGTTTGGTGCTTTTACTAGCTCCAGACTCCACAGCTGGATCTTGTCATAGGAACTTGCACGGACTGCCAAGGGTTCTTTTTTTTTTTTTTTAAAGGGATTTTTGTTTTTGTTTTGCTTTTTGGTGTTTGTACATAGAGTTCTTTTTTTTTTTTTAATTAAAAATTTCGCCAGCGAAACATCTACCAGCGCCTTTTCTCTGCCAGGCCATTTCCAGTTTCTTTTCCCTGTTTGGAATCTTTAGGATTTACCTCCATCTGCCTTGTTTTTCTTACCTGCTTCTTTTGTTGACCAGGGAAGGGGGGGGGAAAAAAAGCAATGTTTGCACAACCAGTGACTTATCAGTCATATGACAATGAGCCTGTCCGAATTGCTTCAAGTCTGAGTTTGGGAGAAAGAGTCTCAGTTTCCGGCATTTTTTAAAGGAACTGGAATTTTTGGCATTGGACATTTAAGAAACTTAATTTCTCCCCCCTTCTAATTCGTTAGGCTTGCCTGATGGGAGAGATTCTGACACTTGTCCCATTGTCTTTAAAAAGACAGAAGGAGGGTTTGAGATTGTCTCTTTGCCCTGCTTAGGCTGTTTGCTTTTTGTCACAAAGTGAATTAGCAGATCAGATATATTCTGTGGGTTTCAAAGCCTAGAAAGCTTTTAAGGGGGATGAAATGCAAAGTGTTGCAACCTTCACATGCCTGCTTAATTGTTCACAGCCCTCTCCTGCCTTCCTCTCCCCTCCCCCTTCTTCCTCCTAAAGAAGCTGCTCCCTAGGACGTGATTGAAATTGATCTAAGTAGTTTCCTTGGGGCATTTGGGATTTGGGCCACAAGCCAGGCTGAGCTCCCGGTTGCCTTCAGAGGCTTTTAAACTCTCCGAGAGCTCCAGTCTGGTCCCCACTGCTCATCAGTATAATGGAGATTTTAAATTAGCCAGATTATTAAAGTTTAACAAGATCTCGGTAAATGCGCTTTCCCTTTTCTTTGGAACGTCAATAAAATATCTTGCCATCTCTCCTCAGAACACTCTCCTATGCCCTGTAACTCAGATGTCTGATTTAAGGGGTAAAGAGAAAACTGATTGTTTTTTCCTCCTCTGCTTGCTCATGCTTGCTGTGTGACCAGTCTGGGGAGGGGGAAGGGTGCGTGTTACATGATGATGGAAGGCACATTGCTAAGTAAGCAAGCGTGAGCCCTGTGGGTAGGCTTTGCTAGTCCTGAAAATGATTTGCTAAAAAGAGCAGAGCTTGCTGTCAAAATTTAAATCTATAGAATTGCAGTAGTATAGACGACCTTATATGGTCATGCAGGCAATTGATCCTAGTGAGGACAAGGGCAGACAAAATTTAATCCTAAAATGTTTCCTACCGTTTTTCTTTTCCAGTGGCTAGAAAGTTTGAGATGGTGGGGAGAGGGGATGCTGGTCTCTCGGCAGTTGTAGCTTCTTGAAAGGTTGGTTGTGGGGCTGGGGAGGGGGTATTCTGTCCACGACACGACACACTGCATGTATATTTGAACTGGGTCCTTTTTTGGCTGCTGGTCAGAATTTCAAAAGGAAGTCTCCTTTGGCATTGCGTGAAAGAAATAGAGTGATGACTCATACAGTTGTACTCTTGGCCAGTAGATAAAGTTCTTGTCCATTGTGGACTCCCAGCAGGTCTGGGGAGTAATTTCCCCTCCTGCATCCTTTACCAGAGCAGATGGCCATTCTGGAATTATTTCTCCACTTGTGTTGTTGAAGCTCTTGTTTTTCTCTGACCACGGTGGAAGTCGTTAAAGTTGTATGGCCCTGCACTTGGGAATGGCATTCTCTGAAAGCCTACTAGGTCTGGGCTAAGGAGCACATGGGTGGTTTCTCTGCAGCTCCATTGATGTCCCTGAATACAGACCATCAGCTAGCTGCCGTCTGCTGGCTGAGGGTAGCCCTGTACTGTCAGCTGTGTCTCCAGAGGGAGACACACGCAGACTCAGAGCACAGTGCATTGCGAGCAGCGCATCCTTTATGTCCTGTGCGTGTGAAAGGAGGATGGCTGGGGCTTTTCCTTATTGCACATGGTTTTGAGACTGTCAGAGAGCTGGTTAAACCTGTTGGGGGGGTGTGTGTCTGAGGCTGGTTTTCTTGCTGTGATTTACAGAAATTCATTAGAACCATCAACACTGGTAACTAAGACAAAACTGGCTGAGTGAACATCACTCCTTGTGGCCCTTGGTCCAACATGGGGAAGCCAGGAGAGGTTTTCTTCTGAATTCGTCCCCCTTCCCAGAAATAGCCTTCCTCTCACCCTCCTAAAAGACGGGGATTCTTAATTACAAAAGGTTTTGCGCCCATGGTGACACGGCCACTGTTGATTTGCCCTTGGTCCCTGCATGTTTTCGGAAATGTGCTTTCGGTTCCGTTTTCGCCGTTGTCACAATCACGTGCCTTCTTGTGCTTCCTTCCGCACAGACCTGCCTGGAGCTGGAACGTTACCTCCAGAGCGAACCCTGCTATGTGTCGGCCTCCGAAATCAAATTCGACAGCCAGGAAGATCTGTGGACCAAGATCATCCTGGCTCGGGAGAAAAAAGAGGACTCAGACCTGAAGATTTCCCCCAGCCCCCCGGAGGAGGCTCTGAACAGCCCCGGCTTTGGTTACAACCTGGAGACCAACAGCTTGAACTCGGACGTGAGCAGCGAGTCGTCCGACAGCTCCGAGGAACTCTCACCCACCACCAAGTTTACCTCCGACCCCATCGGCGAAGTTTTAGTCAGCTCGGGGAACCTGAGCTCCTCCGTCACCTCCACGCCCCCTTCCTCTCCAGAACTGAGCAGGGAACCTTCTCACCTGTGGGGCTGCGTGCCCGGCGAGCTGCACCCTCCTGGGAAGATGCGTGGTGGGACTGCGGGGAAGCCCGGGGACAAGGGCAGCGGGGACGCCTCCCCAGACGGCCGGAGGAGGGTACACCGGTGCCATTTTAATGGCTGCAGAAAAGTTTACACCAAAAGCTCCCACTTGAAAGCACATCAGCGCACTCACACAGGTCAGTGCCTCCCGCCACCTGGGAGGTGGGCCGCTGGCGGGCGCCGCTGGACTGCGCCAGCCCTGGGAGGGGGCCGGGGCGCCGCAGGAGGCGGTCAGAGCAGACGCATCCTCACCTCCTCAGTCTTTCCCCAAAAGAGTGGGGTCTCTGGGGAGGACAGAGTAGGAGCTGAAAGACTGGACACGTGTGCCCGTTGAATGGTTGACACTCTCAGAGTAAACAACCAAGAGGTAAATCCCATTATCCATCTACACCCAATCTCCCACCCACTTCCGCCAGCCGGGTCATCCCGGCCCACAGTGCCCGTCTCCAGGGTCCATGCATAAGGTTACCTGGAGTTGCATCTGAGTTTTTGACATGAAACTCAAGGGTTGGAAGAAAGAGTAGCTGGGCATCGTGGAGGACCCCGGATGGATGCTGGCCTGAGGGTTGAGCTTGACCGATAGACTCCATACGAAGCAGTATGGATCCATGGGGACTTCTGAGAATTTCTCTGTGTCATGCTGACTTTGTTATCTCGAACCAGTTAGAACAAAAACCAACTTCTTAGTAAAATACTACAACCCAGGTGGAAGTTGCATTAGAATGACCATGACAGTCTAGAATAACTGGGGAGGAATCACAGAAATCTCAGAGCTGGGAGACATCTCTGAGATCAAGTCACGCAAACTCTCCTCTTCCCGGCAATGGGGGGCCATTGCTGAGGCCTCAAGTCAGGGTCCTGACACAGCTCATGGCCCCTCCGGGATCGGGACCCGGGTGCCCCGGAGCCAGGCCCTATTGGGCCCAACAGCACACCATAGGACCGGCTTTGGCAGAATATTTGTGTTCTTGGGTAGCACTTTGAGGGAATTCATATTTATAATCTGCCCAGGGGCTGAAGTCGACCTGGTCATTTGATTGTCATTTAGAAAGTGCTTTGAAAAGGCTTTGCAGTGGGGTTTCCCAGAAACTCATGACTTCAGTTCTGGAGAAATGTAGTTTTCTGGAGGAAACTACAAAGCCTCATTCCACAGGGAAGTGAGTTAGGAACCAAATAAGAGCTTGAGTGAAACCGTTTCCATGGAGAAGGCAATAAAACCCTGCCCTGGCCAAGGCTGTGGGTCCAGTGGGCGGACACATCACCTCGGAAGTATTTCTCCGCTCTGAGTAATTGTCGTCCCTACACGTTCGCTCCGGTTACGGTCCTGCGGGCTCTGCCGAGCCTGCGTCCCTTCCCCTGCACTGGGAGATGGTGGCTCCCTCAGGAAGGGGCCCCCACATGTGCTTTGTGAGTGGCAGCTCCTGTCCCTAATGGAAGCATATTCTGAATTCCTGAGGCCACCGGGCCCCTGAGCTTGCTAATGAGTGGACTTGGTCCCCCCCACCCCACTGCTGCCGTGTGTGTGTGTGTGTGTGTGTGTCTCTCACAGTAGCCTGCCCTCGCTGTGCAGTGAAATCACGGTGCACTTGTCCTTTGCTCTCTTCCCAGGAGAAAAGCCTTACAGATGCTCATGGCAAGGGTGTGAGTGGCGTTTTGCAAGAAGCGATGAGTTAACCAGACACTTCAGAAAGCACACTGGTGCCAAACCTTTTAAATGTTCTCACTGTGACAGGTATGTGCATGCAGCTTCAGGCACAGGATGCCATCACCAGAATGGGTAGACATGCAGTGACCCTGAGGGAGGGTACACAGCTTCCTGTCCTCTACTGGCACCTCTGTTTTCAGCCTAGGACTTTTACAAAAGTCTCTAATAATGCTAGTCCCAGTTAGGAAGAACCATGTCCTGTGTGCCTGAGAATAGAGTGATGTCACTCATACTTTGAAGATTGGCCTTCAGCCGTCTTCAGAGTTGGAAACTGGGCAGTAAGGTCAGGTGACATGCTCCAGAGGGCGGATTGGAGACCTCCTGAATTTATAGTCCCATCAGCTGGAATTCCCCACCCCTGAAAATGAATCCTGATGACCCAGTGGGTAGGTCTTCCCTGCCAGGGGGGTCAGGGGGCCGCACGGGGCGGGAGGGCTGTACCCCGAGCAAGGGCTGGAGACCTGACCTTGTCCGTGCTCGTTCGCTCCGCAGGTGTTTCTCCAGGTCTGACCACCTGGCCCTGCACATGAAGAGGCACCTGTGAGGGAGCAGAGCCGCGAATCCTGCAGGCTCAAAAGGCTTCCTGGCTGAGAGACGGCCGTGGAGGAGGGTGCGAGTTCCAGCCAAAGCATGCCATTTTGCACCCCACCCAGTTGCCTCCAGGACCTCTACGTGGATGGTCTTTCGAGGGCGAAAGAAGTCATGTCAGAAGCGGCAGAGCGCCCGTGGTGTGTGGTGTTTGGGTGGCCCTGGACTCGCCACTGGTACCTATCTTCTGAGTGGTCCCTAAGCCTTTGCCGTGAGCATGTGCACTGAGGATGTGAATGGTTGGGTGGCTGTCTGGAGGGTCTGTTACGGACTGTGTGGTGAGGCGGCGTCTTTCCCCTTGTGTACGAGACTGCAAGAGACAGCAGAAACGTAGTTTGAATGTTTTGTGTGTGAGGAGCATACTGTGGGATGAGATGACCACCAATTCGTTTCCTGGGGGGGGTGTCTGCGCCTTAGAAAAAAAAAAAAAAGAAGAAAAAAAGAAGGGAAAACCTGGAGGGCGGGAGTGGGCGGTCAGGCCCCGAGTGGGTTGTGGGGGGGTACCCCCTTTCCTGTGTGAGAGGAATGTCCGGTGTCTGGTGCAGCTATGGAACGTGCAATGTGTCAAGTAGCTTGTTTTACTGGCTACCACAGAGCTCATTTGTTACCCGTTGTATAAGCTGTGTATTTACAACTATAACACATTGATAACTTTTCCTTATCAGACAAAAGTAATGCATGGTCTGGGGAACTATCTGCTTTTCCATTTTTAAATCAGGACTACAATTTGGATTCCAGTTACTGAGCAGCTAAGATAAGATTTGTCAGATTCCGTGATCCCTGGCCATCTGGGCCTGGCAATACCCAATCCTTCCCCACTTCGATTTTGTAACACTCCCCTTCCAGAAAGGTGTCGTGCAGCATAGGAGTATTTTTGAAATGATTCCGAATTTGAATTACCTTTTTGGAGACTTCCGTGATGCCCTTTGAAGACGTTGGACACAGGTTGGGTGTCAAGGATTCAGGGCTGGGAATGGCTGGTCTAATGTCCATTAGACTAAGAACCTAAAATTTTTCTCAGTTGGGTGGATAAAACCACTAAAGCTTAGAAACTGTTTTCTCATGCAGCTAAGTTTCTCTTATTTATGCCTTGAGGACTAATTTCTGGTTTTCTAGCTGTTAATGCACTGTAGATCTTAATAATGGTGCCTTACGCAAGCGGCCCCAAATCAGGGGCCTCCTACAGGGGAATGGCTGATGCATGCTTTATTAAGGCTCTTTTTTCACCTGGCGTTGTACTGTATCAATGTATAATACAGAGAAAAAGAATCTCTTCATGGTCCTCCTTCATAAAGTCAAACAGAGATGGAAACTCCCCAAACGAGTCAGTATTTACTCAATGTTTTAGACAACTTGACTGTCAGTGTTAAAGTGGAAAACACACGAGAATTGGAAAATCGGACCATTTCTGTCACCATGAAACTTTCATAGAGACTTTGCACAACAGTTGCATAGACCACACCGGCTGTATTTAATATGTAACGTTTTCACACATATTAAAGATACAGAAGTATAAACAACCATCTTAACATATTTGCTTAAAAGGCACAAGTTTCACATATCTATCTAGCTATCTGTTGGTAATATAGAAAGTACATTACTTTTTTAAAAAGTGGGCGGAATTCTTGTGTATGTATATTTGTGTGTATAGTATGTGTATGTGTGTGTGTGTATATATATATATACATATATATATAGATAATATATAAATATTTTTTTAAGAAAAAATTAGAATGTTTAGCTAGAAAATTCCACAGCCTGTGAAGAACTATTTCAAAATGGCCATAAAGGAGGTAAAAACGAAAACTGTAACTTTTATAAAAGCTTTATCTTTCATTTAATGATTTGCTACGACTCTTGGCATTGACGCTATTCCGGACTGCTGACTTTGCTTGTCATTATTGGCAAGTCTGGAATATGGGCCACTCAGAAGTGGCATGAACAGAATACTAGCCCATTCGTTGGTCTCAGACAAACTAAGGTTTCGGTTTTGAATTTCAGCCTTATTGGAAGATCTAACTTAAGAGTAAAGTAATCACAGGGATTCTTTTTTAGAACACTTTTTATGCAGATGAAGCTATTTTTTTTTCAGCACATAGATACTTCCAGTTTTTCCAACAAGTAATTTCCCGGAATTGGCATACCACAGTATGGAGAGCTGATATTTCATCCAGCTGCTGGCTTGTGGGTATGGATCTTTTCTTTATATATATATATGTGTATATATATATATATATACACATATACATATATATATATACACACACACATACATATATATATACACACATATGAGTCTGGCTGGGCTGGTATTTTGTTTGATCTTCCTGGAAATGAGCAATGATGGAAACTCACATAACTGGTTTTTTATCTGGGCTGACGAATACACTTACCTGAAGAACTCATTTCATTTTGCTGAGGGGGGAAAAAAATGCACTTTTTTCTTTTGGCAATTCCAAATCCGGGCACTTGATTTGTTGGATTTTGGAAAACTCCTTTTTTGGCCGTGCTGTGCGCTTAGCCATAACAATTCCATTAAGCTACAAGGTAAACAAAAGACAAAAAAGAAAAAAATAACAAACTTGCACTGGCTTGTCTCACTTACGAAACCCCGTGGAGTGGCTGGATTGGGTGGGGCTGGGTGCCATGTGTCAATGCCTGTAATTTTCATAATAAGCAAGTACATGAAGAATTACATTCTGTTCAGGTGATAACTGAGCCTCAATCAAGCAGAAACTTTTTGCTTGACATTAAAAAAAAAATTTCTATTAGTGAAATTTCTTTTTTGTTTTTTTTTTGGAGCACCCTGTTATCTAAAGAATCTTTGTAAGATTTTTGTAAAATTTTGTTTTACAAGATTTTATTTGAAATTGTTTTTTGCAAGATTGTTATATTTCTGTATGAATGTATTTTTTATTGGAATAACATAAAAGAATTCTTATCAGCATCTCGAGTCTGGTTTTTTTTTTCGGGGTTAGGGAGGGGGCGTTGTGGAAACAAATTCCTGCTGTGTTCCTCAGCCTGGCTCCTTCTTGGGAAATCTCCCTCGTGTGACCTGAGACCCACTTGCCTGCCTCACCTCCCTTCCTTTTGGCTTCACAGCCTGTCCTGGGAGCCGACACTCCTCCCTTGAAATGCACTGAATTCTCGTCTCCAGAGTCTGATGAAAGCACCCCTAGGCTCTGGGGCACAGTAGGAAAACACTTGCTGTGTTTCATCTTCCTGTCACTCGAGCCAGGGGCATACACTGGAGAGGCATCTGCGCTATGAGAAGCTTCCCCTTCACTTGTATGGGCTCCAGCAGCCCTGCTGCAGCCAGGCAGTGACAGGCCAGCCTGCTCTCACCTGGCCCAGATGTCGCTGAGGAAAGTGTCAATGACAGAGGAGAAACAGCAGGCCCATCCCCTTGGCCTTCTTCAACCCGCTCGTTTGGACCACCTGCCTTCTCTGGTTAGCCCAGTAAAATAGGGCAGAAAGTAAAAGATTGGCTGCATGACCCCTGGATGATTTTCCATCTGCTTTTTATTGAAGGCCAGTGGGATACAATCAAATGTAGAGGTTGTTTGAAAATAAAATAGCTTTTGATTTTTTAGAAACGTTTCACGTGAGCAGCTTCGGATCTGAGTCTCAGTTTTACTGTGTGGTCAGTAGCAATGGGTCCACCTACAAGCCCATTTTCAGTTCGGAGTAAACGTGGAGGATGATGGAAGTTTCTGTGGGCATGAGCTGCTTCACAGTGTTCTTAGTTTAAGGAAGTTCATCCCCCATTGCCCGACGGCTCATGACTTCTCTTCCTAGGAGATCTTCATTTTGCTACATGCGCAGGTTCACACTAGTTGCTTTTCATTTTATACACGGGGAGAGGAAGTTTAAATGCATCCCCAGATTAGGAATGTTAAGTAATTTTCTTCCTGGAACTGCAATAAAAATATCGGCAGTTTGAAAGGAGCTGTGGTGTGGGAGGGTGCAGGAAGCAGATGTAATTTTTGCCAGGACTCATGGGTGTGTTATGGTCCGGAGCACATGGCAAGATGACTAATAGTTGGATTGCCCTGACTGTAGGGCTAAATAAAGGCTTGATAATGCATTCTCAGCTACCAGTAAGACTTGACCACTTGGTCATGTAAAGACCGTGCCCAGTAGCTCAGTTATGTTCAAATAAGGCTGTTAGGAGACTGTCGTGCAAGGAATCAGCTGTAAACCGAGGATATTTATAGAACTACAAAAAATTTCAGTCTGCTTCACAAATTTTTTTGAAACCCAGCTAAACTAGTTCCCATTCGAACTAGCCCTGTGCTTCTGGAGGATCTTCTCAGCCACCCCGGACCTCAATTTTCTTATTGCTAAACTATTTTGGTCTGGGTCACATGCCTGGCATTTTATAGAGCGCTACAATTCTGTGGTCTGTGAGTACAGGCTGGACTTCAAATTACATGGCCACCAATCTTCAGAAGGCACGGCTCAGATCTAGAGAGCTTTCTCTTGTGCCACAGTAGAAAGTATTGTTGAGAAAATTGCTCTGACTGAGAATGGAAAACAGAACGTTCTCAAATTGGCCTTTGCCCCTTTAATCATAGTTTAGTCATTTAGGCATTTGGTGCTTTATAGCATACCATTTGTTTTGTTTAAAAAAAAAAAAAAAAAAAACCTCCTTGATAAGTGCCATTGCAGCCACTAAAGATCCAAAGTCTGTCCAGTGCTCCCAATTCGCTGACCACATTCCACGGCATTCCACACACCCCAGCTGACCTGTGTGCACAAAGGGCGTGGAGGCCGTTGGAGTCAAGTTGTTTACTCTTACGTTTTAATTGCTGTGGAAAAAGAACATAGCTTTCATATGTAACTCCTTTCTTAGGTTCTAACCTTATGCCACTATGAGCTATTTTTTATCAACTCTCCTTCTCAAACTGAACTATTCCCCTCCCCAAATTGGATGATGATGAAGATGGTGATATCTACTTCTTCTTGGACCTTGACCGGGAATTGCTGGCGATACATTATATGTCTGCGTGTGTGTCTGTGTGTGTGTATTTGTCATGTATTTCCCAGTGTACTCCACACCACGGTGGCATCAGCTCCATTTCCCAGATGAGGCACACTGAGGCCTCGTGAAGTTAAGCCATTCTCCCTGGGTTGCTCAGCGAGGGAGCGAGGGGCCAAGCATCCAGTCCAGTCTCTCAAAAGCCATAGAAGAAGGTTTAGTCACCAATCAACGCTGCTTTCTGTTTGGCCCCGGTTCTCCCAAGAGCCCTCTGCTCGTTCTGTTGGACACACTGTAAAATGAAGCTACATTTACGAAATGGAGACAGAACTTTCTTACAATTCAGAGGCACTAAAGCTGTAAACTGTGCCGTAATCCTGAGCAAACAAAAGTAACCATTTTGAATTGCTTTCAAGATATGAGACAGATGGCGTGTGTTTATTTTTAATGTTTAAGAAGATAGAGAAAGCAATTGGGGATGTGACATCCTGCATTAATTGGCAAGCATCACCTAATGTACACAGTTAAGACACAAAGCAAGGGAAATTAGGTCCATGCATCACACAAATGAGGCAATACAACAAAGTGTGTTTAACTAGATTTATTTTATAACGTGGTCTCTCTGTTTCACTCTAAGTAAATTTAATGAGAATTCTCTAAACGTCTGTGAATGAAAAGAGACAAAGAGGAGAAGGAATCTGGGTACCACATGTCCTGAGAGCAGCCACGCTGGGCTGAGCAGTCACCTCAGAGTTTTCAATAAAAGACAGATTTCACTAGAATGCCCATTGTCATCGCGAGTCCCTCCAAACTCGGGCTGCTAAACCTTGCACTGACTTCCCTTTACACAATCCGTGCCCCACCCCCCAAAAAGATATCGTATGATCTGGAATTGTTCCTTAAATTAAGAGCCCCCAATTCGAAGCTGCCATGAACAAACAATTATTAGCTTTTTAAGAGGCTTAGGTACTTTGATAAGGGATAACTATTCACCATGCCATGCACATCAGCATCTTTTGATGCTTTGTGCTTGCTGGATTCCTGAGCTTTCTCAGTGACCTGCATGTATTGACTAGGCATAGTTCGGTTCCCCTTGACTACCTAAGTTTCACATTACCACATTGCATTCAGTTGTGCAACACTTTCTTCCAGATGTGCAAGATGGGTAGTGACATGCACTGGCTTTACCACTTAACTCACTGGAAAAAACAGGTGGCATTGCTCAGGTGTCGTTTTTCTGTTTATGTTGATGAAGAGATGAGAAAGTGGAAGCCTGTGAGACAGGTACGATAGCAGCGTATGGCAGTGTGCCCTATCTTCCCTTTCACACAGGAATTTGAAGAATTCTTCACTATCGCGCCCATCTTCACTTGTACAATTTCCCGTCCTCCCAAAATAGGTCATCTATTCACAAGCTCATAAGGTAGAGCAAGCCAACTCTCCAGGAGACATACGTGCCTGTGAATGTATTTAACTAGAAATTTAACCCTTCGTGGTAAAATTTCCTTTGGGCAGAATTCAGATATATAAATCATTTAGTTAAAGTAAATCAAAGAGAACATTAGTGTTTGTGACAGAATTAACATCTTGAACTGTAACAAGCCAGTTTTCACTCTCTCTCTCTCTCTCTCTCTCGTCATGCTCTCTCAGAAGATGGAGACGAGGCAGCAGGAGGTCCTGCAGGACTTACGGGGCAAGAAGCCACACTTCTGAGAGTGTCCCTGTATTATCGCCTAGACCTGAATGGTCTGAACAGAGGCGCAGTCAGAACCATGGAGGGAGTCTTTGCTGAGTGGAGTAGCAGCGCGTGAAGATGCTCCCAGGGCACATGCTGCATATCTTTGGGGCTTCTGCAGTCTGTCACACGGTATCCTCAAGCTTCGAGGATGTCAGGAGGAGGGAACTCTAGGAACAGGTCCTAGTCCCATTCCGACCAGATATGTTTATGAGATTTGCGAGAGGAAGGAGTGCCAGCAGCCTTTTGTTCACCTTTAATCAATCTGACCCATGGAGCTTCCTGCACTTAGGTGAGCCCGAGCGTTGCCTTTTCAGGATGGACGTATTCCAGGGCCAGCTGGAGTGGCACCTGGAAGTCAGACAACGGTACAAGAACCTGAGAACGTCGTCACCCAAGCCCCCTGTAGCCTTCTCTTTAAGCTCTGAGTGCCCTGGGAAACTTTGAATGGTAACACAACCTCAGAGTCACTGTTTTTTTAAGGAAATGCTAAGAGTTATATTTGCAAAGATTGGGCATTTACCTCTTATGTTCTGGGGAATCAATGGTGACCCTTCTCACGTGGAACCTACAAATAAAACACGCACTAATTCCTGGCATTGTGATGGCTGCTTAAACCCTTTGAGTTTTTTTTTTTTTCCCCTCATCTCCAAATTGAGAATAATGGGAATCCTTTTGGGATTGTTGGAAGATTAGAGACAAAGCATGTAGGGATCAATAGCTGGTCATTATGATCATTGTGCGATAGGTGTTTATTTCTCAATCAGGAAAATAATTCTTGTTCTTCCCATTGAATTTTTTTTAAAAATAGAGTTTTGTTTTAATTAGCACTAGGAAAAGTGAACTCATGTTTAGTCTCCACAACATAATTTGCCAGTAAATTCAGTGAAGGACCAGCTTAGACCTTATGCTGCCTTTTTATGATTAATAAAGTGGCTTTCTCTCGCAATACTTGCTATGCTACTGAAATCTTGCAGGAAGGAAGTTCTGCAAGTCTTTGAGTAAAACACTTTCCTGTCAAAAGCCGTGAACATGCTGACCCATGGCAGAGTCGAATTGACCAACAGACTCAACGAGTTGAATTCACAGTGGTTTTGACAAATGACAAAGAACCCAGAAGTCCCTTTGTTAACTACAGCTTTCATGAGCGGCTGTAAATCCTGAGATTGATCCAATTCTTCTGAATCATGTGGACTCTGCTTCAGTTACTGCTGGACGGATTTCTCATCAT